AACTGTAAAAGTCTGACTCACAGACGAACACAATACAGAAGCCTGATGATGGCAGATGAGATTCTGCCGAAACGTTGCTACAACTTTAAAAGCACAACTATAATGTAAGTACCTGCGAAAACTTAGGAAAAATTATATATATATTTACTCTGAGAAGCACAGAGCCGAAGACACAAGCCTGAAGATGATGAACGAGACTTCATCGAAACGTTGCCTAGATACTTCCAATCTTATGCGGGAGAAAACCCGAATAACCAAAGATCCACATTATATATATATATATATGTATGTATGTATGTATGTATGTATGTATGTATGTATGTATGTAGGTCTAGGTGTGTTCGGGTCTTTTCCCGTGTAAGATTAAGAGTATCTTGGCAACGTTTCGGCGAGGTCCCACTCACCATCCTCAGGCTGGTGCTTTCGGCTTCGTGCCAGTACAAGCAGTGTGTGATTGGAGCTGCCGTCTCCTTATAAATACTGGTGGGGGCTGGTGTGCTGGGCTGGTTGGCTGCGCTGCTGCCTCTTGACTGGTTGATAGAGTTGATGTTGGCATAATGGCCTTGTGAGTTTTGTTGTGGAGATATCCTGGATCTTGTGCTGTAATCTCAAAAACAAAAAACTGACCCAGGAGATTACAGTACAAGATCCAGGATATCTCCACAACAAAACTCACAAGGCCATCACACAGCCCATTATACCAACATCAACTCCATCAACCAATCAAGAGGCAGCAGCACAGCCAACCAGCCCAGCACACTAGCCCCCACCACCAGTATTTATAGAGGCGGCAGCTCCAATCACACACTGCTTGCACTGGCACAAAACCAAAAGCACCAGACTGAGGATGGTGAGTGGGACCTGGCCGAAACGTCGCCAAGATACTCTTAATCTTACACGGGAAAAGACCCGAACACACCTAGACCTACATATATATATATGTTTTCTTAAGTTTTCGTGGGTACTCACATGTATGGTATTCAGCTTTGTTCGGGTATTTTCCCACGTCATTATAGTTGTGCTTTTAAAGTTGTCTGCCGAAACGTTGCTACAACTTTAAAAGCACAATAATGACGTGGGAAAATACCTGAACAAAGCTGAATACAATATATATGTATATGTGTGTGTGTGTGTGTGTATATATATATACACACACACACACACACATATTCATTTTGATGAGAGGTAAGCAGCTTATTAATTTCGGGGGTGGGGGGATGCTAAGAATGTGGATTTCATGGGTAAGGGTTCCATTTTGCTCTGGATTGAAATATGTGGAGAAGGTATATTTTTACCAGTTTCTCAAAGATTAAGGTCTGTACTTTTCCTAGCGAGAATGGAAATGACCATATGTGAGTCATGTCCGGAGTCATGTATGTGATACAGACATCTATGTAAATAAAAATAAGGAGCTGTGGTGATGCAATGGTTAGAATACAGTATTGCAGGCTACTTCTGCTGACTGCCAACAGTTCAGCTGTTTGAATCTCACTGACTCAAGGTTGAGTCAGCCTTCCATCCTTCCAAGGTCGGTAAAATGAGGACCCAGATTGTTGGGGGCAATATGCTGACTCTGTAAACTGTTTAGATAGGGCTGCAAAGCACTGTGAAGCAGTATTAAGTCTAAATGCTATTGTTATTGCTATTCCTAAATAAATACTTTTAATAGAAAATTAGGATTGATTACAAGAAGGCATTTGATCTTCTGCCACATATTTGGATAATCAAGTGCCCATAAATAATTAGAATCATCAGAAGCTTTGTGAAAAGACAAATAGTTCAATGGAAAACATAGTTGCTGGTCAATGGTGTTAGACCAGGTGGGTAATCTTTCAAGGAGGCTCACTATTACCACTACTTTTGTCAATGCATTGATTCCTTTAACACCAATACTGAACAAAGCAGTCCATGAGAAAAAAATAACATCTGCCAGGTTACGATATAATTTTCCTTGGGCATCTTAATTCATTCAGTTTTCACCATTTTTCCTCTATGGCAGGGGTGTCAAACCCGTGGCATCATGGCGTCACGTTTAGCCCTTTGCTAAACCAGGTATAGCGCGGCCAGCGCGTGACACATCTGGCCTGCAGGCTGTGAATTTGACAACCCTGCTCAATGGATAGTAAGGGTGGCACATTTGCTCAGTCCAAGCTAGCGCGATATTTGGCTGTACATTCAAACAGTACTGAGCAGCAGTTTCATTTCAAATGATGTTTTTGCACACAGTCATAGATTGTGCATATAGTTAAGAGCTTCCGGTGAGTCATCTCAAACATGCTAAATCCCAGCATTTAACTACAGTTTACTTATAGCAACAGCACCTCCGTTTTCTCTTCATTTAATTTCAACTTGTCTTCGTCCACATTTAAAATTGAATGTTAATCATATTCCACTCCAGAACTCTAGATGCTGCTTTCATCTTGACCTCAAATTATTTTCCCTAATGAGTAAAAATAATGGAGCTCTGTGGTACCTCTTACCTTAGGTGCCCCCTAGCAGTCCAACATTCTGGAGATAACTTAACAAGGATCAGAAATGAAGTCAACAAAGCCCCAGACATATTCCCACCACCATGTAGCTTAGAGGGAATAATCTTGGTAATGTTAAAATAAAAAATAATAAATAAATATGATGTGATGGCACTTCATTTTACGTCTTAAATGTCTCATGTTTAATTTTCTTCTCTTTTTTCCTTTCCAAACAGATGATAGGGGAGAGCCTGAATATTATAAAGAATCGGGTGTGAATTCTCTGGAAAAGACTGAGACTACAAAAGGGATATTTCAAAATCGAAGGAAACCAAATGTGACTGAAGAACACTGGCTGAATAATAGGAAGAGAAAATCGTCTGTTTTTCAGCATAGAGAAAATCGCAACTTCAATATCCAGCTGCACAAAGAAAAAAGCTGTTTAAAGGATGGGAAAACTTTCAGCAATAAATCAGTCATCTGTGAACGTAGCAGAACCCACTCTAAAGAGAAGAAGGTTGAATGCAAGGAACGTGGAAAAAAAGATTTGAATCTATGTCTTCCTTTACATCAAAACATTGAGATACCAAAATCACATAAATATTCAGACAGTGGGAAAAGCTTTAGTGACAGCAGTACTTTTAACACCCGTAAAACAACCCATAAAGTGGAGAAGTCTTATAAATGTGCAGAATGCAGAAAGAGTTTCTATACAAGCAGTGATCTTACTTTGCACAAAAAGTCCCATGCAGGAAAGAAATATAAAAGGATGGAATGTGGAAGGAGTTTTAGTATGAGTATAGCTTTTACTTCTCATAAAAGGATCCACACAGGAGAGAAGCCATACAAATGCACAGACTGTGGAAAGAGCTTCACCACCAGTGGTTCCCTCACCGCTCATAAAAGGATCCACACAGGGGAGAAACCATATAAGTGCATGCATTGCGGGAAGAGCTTCAGCCAAAGTGCTTCCCTTACTTCCCACGAAAGGATGCATACTGGGATGAAACCATATCTGTGCATGGATTGTGGAAAAAAGTTCGGTCAAAGCAGTGATCTCATTTCCCATAAAAGGATCCATACAGGGGAGAAACCATTTAAATGTCTGGAGTGTGGAAAAAGCTTTACAATGAGACGTGGTCTTACTTCCCATGAAAGGATCCACACAGGGGAGAAACCGTATCAATGCACAGATTGTGGAAAGTGCTTTATAAGTAGAAGTGATCTTACTTCCCATAAAAGGATCCACACAGGGGAGAAGCCGTATCAATGCATGGAGTGTGGAAAAAGCTTCAGTTGGAGTAATAACCTTACCAGTCATCAAAGGATCCATACAGGGGAGAAACCATATAAGTGCATGGAGTGTGGAAAGAGTTTCAATCAGAGCACTTCCCTTACTTCACATGAAAGGATCCATACAGGGATGAAACCGTATCAGTGCATGGAGTGTGGAAAAAGCTTCAATACAAGCAGTGAACTCATTTCCCATAAAAGGATCCACACAGGGGAGAAACCATATAAATGCACAGCGTGTGGAAAGAGCTTCCGCAAGAGTACTGATCTTATTTCTCATGAAAGGATCCACACAGGAGAGAAGCCATACAGATGTACGGAGTGTGGGAAATGCTTCAGCCAACACAGAAATCTGTCCTGCCATAAAAGGATCCACACAGGGGAGAAGCCATACAAATGCACAGATTGTGGAAAGAGCTTCACCACCAGTGGTTCCCTCACTGCCCATAAAAGGATCCACACGGGGGAGAAACCATATAAGTGCACGGAATGCGGGAAGAGTTTCAGCCAAAGTGCTTCCCTTAGTTCCCATGAAAGGATCCATACTGGGATGAAACCATATTCGTGCCTGGATTGTGGAAAGAAATTCAGTAAAAGCAGCCACCTTAGTTCTCATAAGAAGATCCACTCTGGGGAGAAGCTATATAAATGCTCAGACTGTGAAAAGAGCTTTTACACAAGCAGTTCCCTGATATCACATAAGAGGATCCACTCTGGTGAGAAACCATACCATTGCACCGACTGTGGAAAGTGTTTCAATACAAGCAGTTCCCTCAGTTCACATAGGAGGATCCACACAGGAGAGAAACCATATGAGTGCCAGGAGTGTGGGAAGAGTTTCAGTCACAACACTTCCCTCTCTTTTCATAAAAGGAGCCACACAAAGAAGAACCCACCTGCCTGCATATAATAAGCAAGGAACTTCTTTCAGAGTATGAACTTCTGATAAAAGAAGTTACATGGAGGAAAGGCTCAGTACATGCATGCAATATGGAAAGAACTTAAGTGATTCCATTTCTGATCAATATGCCAAAATTAAAAGGGAATGCATTATTTAATTCGAGAAAATGAGTTAGAGTGAAAGGTGGCGAAGAGAAGAAATTGAATGGATGGGCCAGATGAAAAAGATTTGGAAGAGCTTCAAGTTATTACAAGAGGAAGGCCAAGATCTTGTCTGTGTTGTAGGTACAATATAAATCAACTATATCTGCACTGAGATATTAGGGAATACCTAGATGTTTATTAAATCACTTGACTATGTCCTTTGGGACATCATTTCACAGCCGTGGTGGTGCAGTGGTTAGGGTTGCAGGCTAATTTTACCAACTGCCAGCAGTTTGATCCTGACTAGCTCTGTTGGAATCTGACTCTGAGGGAGAGGAGGAACAGCTGACAGGGAATAGGAGTAGCTCAGGAGGTTGTGGAGGAAACTGGGGAAGGGCACAGGCCAGCTGGGCATTCAGAGGAAAACCCAGGCCCATCGCCTCTTCATCCAAGGGCATGCAGGGAGGAGCAGATAAGGGAGAAACGTGAATGGTGTGGTCTACGGGGGAGGAAAGGGCCTTGATCCCCTTCATGGGCTGTAGCTGTGAGGACTGTTTAAAAGGACAAACTGCGCATGGGTGGGTACTGGAAGCAAAGCATGAAAATATTTCTAGTTTGTCAGTTCTTATCTGAATTCTGGCGTCCTTCCCAGTGTGTGTATTTCGATATCTGTGGACGTCTTCAAGCCCTTATCCTGCCTTGTCTCATTAATTGCTTCAGTGTGGTTTGTGTTGTTTGTTTTCTATTTATAATTTATATGTATTTTGAGTTTGAACTGAAGTTTTTCTTTTTCACAACTGTTTGTGGGGGAGTTTTTTCTCCAGTCAATGATAATTGGACCTTTGAAGCCAAGTTGAAGGAATTAAAGGGACACCTGTTTTTGTGACTTTGTTGCTTTTGTATCACCTGGGTCATCACAGGCTCAAGAATGACTCAGCCTTTCATTCTTCTGGTAAAATGAGGACCTTGATTGTTGGGGGTGATATGCTGATCCTAAACAGCTTAGAGAGAGCTGTAAACCCCTGTGAAGCGGTATATAAGTCTAAGTGCTGTTGCTATTTCCTTATCTTCCTTAAACAGAAGAACAGTATGACCACTGTTGAGCAAAAAAGGTGTGGGAACAGGAGTGAACTCCAACTTCCTGCTGGCCTTCCCATTGAATTTCCTTGTGGGAATCTGGCAGGGAGCATTGGAAATTTTCCCTTTTCCCTTCTCTTCCCAACAGGCAAGTAAGTGCCTGCTTCTGAGTGGAGGAGGGTGCAAAGGATTGTGAGAGTAAGTGGGACACTCTCACCCGAAACTGTTCCAGCAATATATCAGCAGTCCGCAGCAATGAGGCAATCATAATTTCCCCCAAATTTCATTCCCTTGGGAGTCATTGGTCCCAGAATGGACATATTCTGTAAGTTAGCCTATAAACTGTCCAGTGTAACCTTGAGGCAAAATGGGTGGCCTATAAATTTTATAAATAAATTTGAAGTGTATTGGTTCAACTGGGTAGCCCTGTTACCCAGTTAAGGTCATGACTAGACTTTTAGTAGTAGTATATAGATTATCCAAAACCCTTTTTTCCCCTTTTCTTTCTTATTTATGTGTGAGTTGAGTTGGGGATGCTGACTTAGTGTATTTGGGAGCAGACATCTATATTGAATGACTGGGCTAGGGGTATAAATGACTATAGACATAACTGTGAATAAGTATTAGCCAGTCCTTAATCCTGATCCCAACTCTGGGGTTTGGAGGGTTGTATTTATTCTTGCTTGCCTGCAAACATTTTAACTGTTTTTCTAAGGTCTGTGGTGGGCCTTTTCTCCTTTCCTCAATTCACTCTTCCTCTGAGACATACACCTTTGGTTCTAAACCTGTATTTTTCCCCTCTCTATTTCCAGCAAAATTACTCCTTCCCCAATCTCTCATGTCTTTGTTGTTTCACTTGAAGATGGAAAGGGCATGTTTGGGTGTGTAAGATATAATGGTGCATGTAAATAGGAATTTCTTTCCTTATTTTAATGAAATTTTATTACATTTTATCTACATTTTTTTGCTCTGGGCCTATTTCATTTGGAGTGTGGTTTTTGACAATGGTACGTATGCATACATACAGATTTGCACACATAGAGATATGTAATACATGCTCCCATAAAATTTATGGACCAATTCCTTTTCTTAAAATATGGTAACAGTCCACAGTTGGATGTGGAAAATACTACTTTGATCAACTGCTTAATATTCAGAAACCCCTGGAAGAAAATCCAATGGCTATTAATTTTTGAATAGCCCTTGAGCTGGCCAAATCTATAGATATTCAAGATGATGAAAACTAAAATGATTGTGATGAACTTGAGAAGAACTACTTTAGAGTAACTGCCAACTCAGTGACCAGTGCATTCCCTTAAAGAATATTGCAAGTGATGGGTACAGGAGCATAAATTTAAATATTAGTGTCACGCATTAGCTTTAAACATATGCATAGCAGAAATGTGTGCAAAAGGAAGACATATGCAGATAACAACTTGCATGCCTTGTGTAAAAGGTTAACAATGCATATTAGGGAGTGAAATATATGTCTCACTATACAACTGAAGTTAATAGAATTGGAATGTCCAGATACCTTTGTTTTTGTAACTTCATATAATTAGTGCACTCTTCTACTCACATTCTGTATACTTAATTGTGTACTGGCTGAAGGCTGTATAATTGAAGACTTTTTTTACACTTTGTATCTTGCCTACAAGAATAGAAGCCTGTTGATTTGAGAATTGGGTGCTTAATCTGATTTCTAAGCACCATCCTTTTGATCAGAAATAAATGTATTTCTAGTGTGCTTTAATAAGCACTGCATACCATACCGAGCACAATCTCAGTCTTTTTTTGGACAACAAAATCTCCTTATCTTACTTCCTGCTCAGGGTCAAATCTTTTGCTAAACATTCATTTATTCTTAGGTGTGTTTTACTTCTATCAAATTTTGTGCATTCTCTGATCAGCATAAAGCTGGTTTCTCAAACTGTGTTCATTGTTGTCTCTCATTTTTCAATTACAATGCAACATGCCTGAGGATGCTTACTATTCTAAACCACTTGTAATTTGTGCACTCACTAATGCTACTTTTCCCTTTGTATAGAACAGTAATGGCATTGTTCAAGACAAACACGTTGTGCAGATCATCACGAACTGGAGTCTCCTTCATATTGGAAAACATGCGTTGTTATAAACTTTACGACATAGGTCTCCATCCAATGTATAAGTGTCACAGCTGTGATGTTCTGGCCATTCCTCCAGGAATAGATCCTTTCTTATTCCTTTGCCCACAGTAATGGGAGAATTTTTTTTTAAAAAAAAAGTAGTTTGGATTTGCTACCCAGAGTAGCCTCATGACAAATGGCAAATTTAACAAATAAATAATTTGCAACTACTAAAATTAAAATGGCAATTGTCTGTTTACCTCCAGCTGGTCAAAATCCTAAGAGTTGAAGGATGTACCGGTGATCTTTAGATTTAGGTGAGATACAAATAAATAATCTATAAAATGAGAAATGTATCCATGCATGGAATGTGGAAAATGCTTCCACATCTTGCAATGTTATTCCACACAAAGGAGAAACTTTGGAAATAGTGCAATGAAACCTCAAAGGATTCTTAAATATGCATTCCAAGTAGAGAAAGAACTTCAAAGCTTTACTCCCCACAAAAATTGGTACTGGTTGTGCCTTTTTACAGTAGCAAAAATTCAAAAAAAATTCTTCAGTCAGTTTTCTTCCTTTATTTCATCTGATAATTCTTACTATCTCAGGAGACCCTTTAATTTTCATTATTTGTATTTCATATTTTTGAGAATTGTGTTTGTTTCCTAACTCTTCAAGAACCATGTTTCTCTTCCCATTTATTTTTATTAAAATAGCTTTATATTTCTCCTTTAATGCATAGCTGCCATCTCCTTTGTACACTTTGCTTTTTTAAAAAGTTTCCCTCAGACTTCTAAATTAGCTCTGCAATTTCTGAGGTAATTTTTTTTCTGGAACTGAATGTCCTTCGACCAGTACTCCCATTCAGAATACAATATTTTCAATATTGACTCCCCCCCTTTTCAGGATCTCCATTTTGCTCTCCCAAAGCTTCTCCCCAGGTGCCAAAGACACTTTTATTACCTCATTATCAAGAATAGAATAGATGAATAACAAGAGTTGGAAGGGATTTTGCAGGGCTTCTAATCTAGTACAACCCTATAACCATTTCAGGCAAATAGTTGTCCAATCTCTTAAAAACTTCCAGTATTGGAGCATTCACAACTTTTGCTGGCAAGTCGTTCTGCAGATAAATTGTTTTAACTGTTGGGAAATTTCTCCTTAGTTCTAGGTTGGTTTTCTCCCGGATTGATTTCCATCTGCTGTTTTTTGTTCTGCCTTCAGATGCTTTGGGGAATAGCTTGACTCCCTCTTGTTTGTGGCAGCCCCTGAGATATTGGAACACTGCTATCCTATCACCCCTGGTCCTTTAGGGGCTGTTCCTCAAGAAAAGTGTTATTAACTTCGAACTGGAGAGTCCTCACTTGGAAAAGGACTTTGGGACAGAATCCCTCAACGCTACCATCATTTTACCAGAAGAGAACAACGTTCTCCTTCACTTTCTCAAGAGACGCGGGAAATCTTAGCCCCGCCCCTTCCAACGTTTGTTTTCTAAACATTCCAAGAGGCCCAAAAGGGTTGATTTTTTTTCTGAGGAAAGCCGCCAGGACAGCGAAGGAGAGGGCCGGAGGGGCCATCCGATCCTCACTGCGGCCTTTCTAGGGAGAAACACTCTCTCCCTTTAACCCTTGGAGTAGACTGGAGCGATTGAGTATGCCTGGAATCTATCTGCGAGTCTCTGGGGCGGAGTTTGGTTTCTCCTCCTGCGTCCTCAAATATATGTTTAATCTGCCAATGAATAATGTATCCAGGGGCTGTGAAATTGAGTTTTGATCTGGACAGTCTGAAATGGAATAGGGTCTCCTATTTGACTGCCATTTGTCAGAAATGATGTAGGGTCTCCCGCTTGGGGGGGAGGGGTGGACTAGATGACCTACAAGGTCTCTTCCAACTCTGATTATCTGTTATCCCGTCAGAGCAGGGGACTCGACTAGAAGACCTCCAAGGTCCCTTCCAGCTCTATTCTGTTTTCAACCATGCCCTCTCGGATACTGTCAGAGAAAAAAATATAGTGGCAGCTCCCTTGCTTAAAAGTACAAACTGAGAGACCATCAGCTCTAATCCCTATGTATGCACAGAAGCTGGTTAGATGGCTTTGGGCCAGTTATTATGTCTGACCTACAAGAGGAATCATTAGATACTCCACCTCGGTTCCACAAAATAAAGGTGGGTGTCATGCCCCTGGTGGAGACTGACTCTGAGGAAGAGGAGGAACAGACAACAGGGAGTGGGAGTGTGGCTCCAGAGGTGGTGGAGGAGGCTGGAGAAGGGCAGAGGCTGGCTGAGCAGTCAGAGGAGGATCCAGGCCCATCCCCTATCCATCCTAGGTCACGCAGGGAGGAGAGGATCAGGGAAAAGTGATGTCTACTCAAGAGGAGATTACCATGATCCTCCTCGTGGCTTGCAGGTGGGAGCTATGTATATAAGTTTGCAACTGCGCAGTTAGAATTTGCAGGAGTCAATTTAGTGTTCACTTTGAAAGAGGTTTATTTTTGCTGGCGTTCTTCCCATGGACTTTTCTTGGTTATTTTCCTGGAGTTTATGATTAGTTACCTTGGCTTGCTTCGGAACTCTCATCAATGCGGTTTGTTTTGGTTTTCTGTTTGCCTCATTATTTACTTTTGTGACTTTAAACTGTGCCTAATAAAACAGTGAAGTTAAGTTGAAGGCCTTACCGGACTTTAATATATGTTTTGGGTTATTTTGAGAGACTACGGGTCATCACAGTGTGATATAAAAAAAATAAACAGAGACCATAAACAGAGGGGTTTGATTAATGATCAAAATATAATGTAGTAGACTATGAAGCTCATCTCCTAGTGAATAGACAGAAATAGCTACCGCACATAGTTACGCATTGTCCCAAAGGTGCTTTTTCAAGAGGCAACTGAACTTTCTGGTTTTTCTTTGAAGACATTTTGCTTCTCGTCCAAGAAACAACTTCGAAGAATGAATGAATGAATTATTTATTGGCCAAGTGTTAGACACACAAGGAAGTTGTCTTGGTGCATAGGCTCTCTGTGTACATAAAAGGAAAAGACAGAAAGTCCAAAACCAGAAAAACCAAAGTCCAGTTGCCCCTTGCAATAGCTCCTTTGGGACAACCATGACCTGGGTGACTGAGAATCTCTATAGACATATTGTTAATGTAGCACTTCATTCTATTTTCAATATTTTATTTTTGCACTATCTCTAAAGAGACTTCCCCTCTTCTCCATATTTTGGAAGGGCTATTGAATTTTAGTAAAGCTATCCAAGGCAGGAATGCCAGATCATTATTTATTTTTTTTGAAAAAAATAGCTTAGCTTCATGATAAAAAGAAATGTCTCCTGATCATTACATACAAATCTTCCCATATCCTTCTGTGGACAGGATCTGAAATTGGATTTCCCAGTTCTGCTTGGATTTCCTGATGGTGTGTATTATCCATGCCCATCCCACTTCAATTCGAAATTCACAGCAGGTGGAAGAGATGCTGCCTTTAACTGCAACGAAAGGGAAGACAGCTTTGTCAAGCACGGGAGACCTGCAAAAAATTTCTGTAGAGGGGATAACTTCTGTTATTGAAACAGGAGACAGCCACAGCAAGGGAAAAACGAGGTTGTTGGTTTTTTGGGGGGGTAAATGTTTCTTTGCAAAAACAGGTTTCTGCTGGGAAACTGACCTATATTCCCAACAGTGGTGTGGGAAGAGTGGCACAATGTCCAAACTTTACTCCCTCAAGCGCCTACCCCCTAACTCCTCATCAGTGATCACCTAGGGTGTTCGCTCCCTGTTGCTTCCCAGGTGTCAAATCCGTGTATCTGCCATTCTTCAATGGAAGAAGAAGGGTGGGGGGGGGGTTGATACAAGTAACCCTTTTTGATGTAAACCGAACATCTTAATTCTTGTATTGAATCTGTATAACCTGCACACGATTTACAACTGGGGACCGGAGCCCAGTTGCCTGAAAACTTGTCACCTCTTGGAGAGGCAGCAAGAGGAGAAGGGACCATAAAAATTCCAGCTTCGAAAGAAACTTCCTGGGAAGATCTTCTCAACTACGTTCCCAGAAAAAAAGAGGGGGAGGATTAACATGTTGCTTCTTTGTATTAACGAAATCCACACCAGACTAATGGGAAGGGTTCTAACCCCCTTTATCTAATCTGCATGCTTGAAGGGATATTAGACCCTGCTTTGAATATTGCCTGGCTATCTTCCTTTTCAATAAAGAATTCCTTTTGAAATACCCAGTTTTCAAAAGTTCATTCTTATCGTCTGAAAGAGAGAGAGTCTGGTCCTTATACCAGGATTAAAACAGGATCTGCCCAGGGTTGCCCTCTTGCCAAGAGCTTCCAGGTCAGTGGAAAACAGTCCATTGGATCTCGGAGGATAAGGGAAGAGGGAGGGACCTGTATAGGGAGAAGCAATCTCTGTTTGCACTTTAAACCCTCCTGTGGTGGGTCCTTCCGGGGAGGGAGGGAGGTGCAGCTTACGGGAATGTGCTGGGAAGGCAGTGGTGCTGGAGGAGCTGCGAGGAAGGCATTGCACGGATCCTGCTCTGCACGCCTCTCTTGGGGAACGGAGTCCAGGCGAGGGGCAGAGCCGCCTTTCCCTGCGGGGCAACGGGGTAAGAAGCTTCCATTTTCCTTTCCCTTCAGGTAGATCTGGGTGAGGCGGGGAAAGTTCTTGGAAATGTGACCCTTAGATGCTGCTTTTTGGGTCTCATAAGATTGGAACATAGAACAAATAGAATTCTTTATTAGCCAAGTGTGATTGGACACACAAGGAATGGTGTGTCATACTCTCTCTTGGTGCAAATACTCTCAGTATACATAAAAGATACATTTGTCAAGAGTCGAGAATCATAAGGTACAACACTTAATGATAGTCATAAGGTACAATAAGCAATCAAATCATACTAGGAAACAGTCAGTATAAATTGTAAGGATACAAGCGACAAAGTTGCAGTCATACAGTCCCAAGTGGGAGGGGATGGGTGATAAGGAGTGATGAGAAGGTTAATAGTAATAGTAGTGCAGACTTAGTAAATAGTTTGACAGTGTTGACCGGGTTATTTGTTTAGCAAGAGTGATGGCGTTCGGGGGAAAACTGTTCTTGTGTCTAGTTGTTCTCGTGTGCAGTGCTCTATAGCGTCGTTTTGAGGGAAGGAGTTGAAACAGTTTATGTCCGGGATGTGAGAGGTCTGTAAATATTGTTCTTACAGTCAGCACTTTCTCCTGGAACAGTTTGCCTCCCGGAGTTGCAGGTGCCTTAATCACTGGAGGCTTTCAAAAAACAGACCAGACAGTCATATACTATAAGGTCTCCTGCTTGTGCAGGGGGTTGGACTGGAAGATCTCGGAGGCCCCTTACAGTCTTAGGATCCTATGTCCTATGATCATTTCCCATGGGATTTTCTCTGGTGCTGTATCAGCTCCAGAAGCCTTGGATTTAAATGGCGAGGAATTCCGAGCAGCCATCCTACACCGTTGCTTCGCAGATGCCAGACTGCCATGGGGGTAGGTGGGGGGTGAGGGATCAGTTGGGGGGGAGGGGGAGGGAACCCAGAAACGAAACCATTCGGAATGTCTGCCGGAGACATCAACTGGCTAACTTCAAAGCCACAAAAGATGGGAATGGAATGCAGATAATGGCCAAGCCCGCCAGGCAGCAGACCTGTTACCAAAACAATTTATTTAAATCCCATTGGACACCAGGGAGATAATGTGGGGCGGGGGAGGGCTTGGGAGTGGGGAAAGCGAGTGGGCAGTGGTGTATTAATCCTTAAGAGACTAAGCATGTGCTTAGGGCGCCAGGCCCAAAAGGGGCACCACAAAAACTTATGTAGATTAAGCTTGGCTTTGTTTGTACAGTATGTATAAAGGAGGGCTGGGGCACCAAGATTTATCAGTGCTTAGGGCACCAGTGAGCCTTCATTCCACCACTGGTGAGTGGGCAGTCTTCACTCTCCAAACCTCAGGTCTGGCCTTCTCCTATTTGGTAACAGCTTGGCTTTTGTAAAAGGAAACCTTCCACTATGAATGCAGTAGAAGGCTCTTTCCTCCTAAATAACCTGGTAGAACAGAGAGGAGCCATGGAGCCATTGCTTGAGTGGAGGAGTCGCTCGGGAGGATCCATCCCAGAAGTGCCCTTTCGTACTCAGGATTGAATTTGCCCCGTTTTTTTTTCCTTCATGAATTCCTTTTTCATTTTTTTAATCTGCTCCTTTTTATATCAGCACTGGAGATAGTTGTGGCGGTGTGCATTTAAAAAGGCATCGTCCCTTTCCCGTAGGCTGTTCCAAAGTCCCACCTGTAGAAAAAAGGAGTTTTCGTTGTCTTCACTGATTATCCTTTAAATTCCTGGGAGTCTACCTCAGCGAAGATCTTAACCTGGAAAATCAACACAACCCAGGTGGCCAGAAAGGCCCAACAGAGACTCCATTTCCTTAGGGTCTTGCGAAAGAATAAAGTGGAACAACGACTGATGACCTCCTTTTACCGGTCCACAATAGAAAGCGTCCTCACATATTGCCTTACGGTGTGGCATGCTGGCTTGACAGCCACGGATAGAAAGACACTACAGAGGATGGTGATCACAGGACAAAACATTGTGGGCTGTTCCCTGATACCACTAGATGACCTTGCTTGGGCTCGCTGCCTTAGAAGAGTGAGGAAAATTCTCAGGGATGACTCACATCCCGGTCAGCACTTCTTCACTCTCCTACCATTGGGCAGGAGATAGAGAAGTATAGCCGGCCGCACCAACAGGCTGAAGATCACTTTCTACCTGTGGGCTGCCTGACTTCTGAAGGGAAAATAACTTCATGTCAACATAGTATGATAAACTTGCGGGGCCGGTGCATTGTGCAACAAGGTCACATAGTGTAATAAGATTGGGACTGGGTTAGGGACTTCTGTCCTCACTGTGAGTTGTGTGTGTGTGGGGGGTGCAGGAAGGCTCAGCCAGTCTCATTGTACACATGTTGTACTCTGACAATAAAGATAATAACAATGATTTGACAGCCACACATATGGGGTCTGCTTGAGACATCTGGAATTCAAGCTATGTGAGATGCTTTAATGCATACATTCATGGCTAAGAGACCTGCTTCTGAGTCTAATCCTTGGTCCTTCCATCACTTTCAGTTTTCCTCTCACCCAGTATCAGCAGCTTCTGTGTATTGTTGCTGTGGCTGCAAAGTATGCAGATTATCTGATTCCCTAGTTACCATAGAGAAAGGCTAGAATCGCCCTTCTGCATTGTAGTAGCATTCCAGAATATGGTTAGGATGTTTGATAGCAAGTTAGCCCTTTGCTGTTGTTTTCCCCCCACTGGTAGATATTATACAGGTAGTTCTCGACTAATGACCACAACTGAGCCCAAAATTTCGTATTTTTACGTGAGACATTTGTTAAGTGAATTTTGCCCCATTTTACGGCATCTCTTGCCACGGTCGTTAAATGAATAGCTGCAGTTGATAAGTCAGTAAGACAGTTGTTAAGTGAATCTGGCTTCTCTGCTGATTTTGACTGATCATAAGCTCACAAAAGGGGAGCGATCACATGACCTTGGGACACAGTAACGATCATATATAAGAACTAGTAGCCAAGCATCTGAATTTTGATCACATGGTCACGCGAATGCTACAAAGGTCGTAAGTATGAAAAATGGTCATAAGTCACTTTTTTCAGTGCCGTTTTAACTTTGAATGATCACTAAATGAAGCCGTGGACTACCTATAACACTTGAAATACTGCATCCAGTTTTGTTTGCCAGAATGTAAAAAAAAATTGTTGAGACTCTAAAAAGAGTGCAAAGAAGAGCAACAAAGATGATTAGGGGACTGGAGGCTAAAACATATGAAGAACGGTTGCTGGAATTGGGTATGTCTTAGTCTAATGAAAAGAAGAACTAAGTGTTGTAGTTCGCTGGCAGCAGGTGTGGACAACTGAGGTCTCGGAGAGTGAGGACTCAAATGAGGGGCGTGTGATGCAGGGATTGGGCCAGGACTATCCAGGAGTGGAATGCTGCCTTCGGAGATTGTGGAGGCTGGCAGCAGCGATGAAGAGGTCCCTGAGGAGCCTGGGCCCAGTGCATGTGCACGCAGGGCTGCTCAAAGGAAAGAGCAGCTGCAGCAGCACGGGTGACTCGGGAGTAAGGCTGCAAGGTAATTGGTCCCACTTTTCAGAGACAAAAGCCAATTGAGAAACCAGAGTTCTTTGCAGGAAGCAATGAAGTCAAGCCTTGTGGATGTTTGGATTATCTTGGTTGGTGTTTGGAGACTTTTTGTGTTTGAAATATTTCTTAGCAACTTTATCTAGTGTTCTTGGCAGCCTTGCACAACCTTGGCAAGGCTCGTTCTTATCAGAGAGAATTAGTTTGAAATAGCCTTTTAACCATGAAGGAACTGAATTCTTAAAGTGTCATTAAAAGGTTTTGCTGTTACCTCCGTTTGGTGTTTGTTTCCTTGGAACAAGGGTTGGGTCAGAACACTAGGGGAGACAGGATAGCAGTGTTCCAATATCTAAGGTGTTGCCACAAACAAGTGGGAGTCAAGTTATTTTCCAAAGCACCTGACAAGAAGCAATGGGTGGAAACTTATCAAGGAGAAAAGCAACCTAGAACTAAGGAAAAATTTCCTGACAGTTGGAAAAATTGATCAGTGGAACAGCTTGCCACCAGAAGTTTTGGGTGCTCCATCATTGGAGGTTTTTGAGAAGAAACAATCATTCGTCTGAAATGGTATAGGGTGTGATGACCCAGGGTGGGATACAAAACAAACACAGTCACAGAAAACAGATGAAGCCCCTTTTATTCCTTCAATTTGCTTCCAAGCTCTGAATATCTTTGACGGAAGACAAAAAAACCTCCCATACAGTTGCACGAAGAAGGAAAAAAGCAACACAAACCAGGCAAGATAAGGGCTGGAGGATGTCCACAGATAACACACACTGAGAAGGACGCCAAACTCAGAGAGAAATTATAAACTAGAGATATTTACACGCTTTCTTTCCAGCGTTCGCCAGTAGGCAGGTCCATACTCTTATTCAGTTATCAGAGCTGTAGCCCATGAAGAGGATCAAGGCCCTCTCCTCCCTTGTAGACCCCATCTCTCCCTTATCCTCTCCTCCCTGCGTGCCCTAGGATGGATAGGGAATGGGCCTGGGTCCTCCTCTGACTGCTCAGCTGGCCTCTGCCCTTCCCCAGTCTCCTCCACAACCTCCGGAGCTACACTTCCACTCCCTGTTGGCTGTTCCTCCTCTCCCTCAGAGTCAATCTCCACCAGGGGCATGACATAGGGTTTCGTGTCTGAGGAGGGGGTTAGAAGACCTCCAAGGTTCCTAGCAACTCTATTATTCTGTTATTCTGTTCTGCTATAAATGAAATGGTATAGAACAGGGGTGTCTTATGATTGAGGCATAGTGGAGTACTTAAATCTGGCCCGTGGGGCTGGCCTGGAAATAGGAAAGGACTGGCCTCTAGCAGCCAACACAAGGTGTGTGTGGGCCACGTGTCCACCCCCATGCCCTGTTTTCAGCTTGGACGGCCTCCTGCAGTACTCTGCTGGCCAAAACAGGGCACAGGCCAGAAATGGGGTGGTGGTGGGCCATGTCTCCCCCCCCCCCCCTGGCTGGCCAGAGGAGAACTACAATGCTGATCCAACCCTTGAAGAAATCCAGTTGACACCCCTGGTATGGAGTCAGACTAGAAGACCTCCAGGGTCCCTTCCAACTAGTTATTCTGTTCTGTTATTAATTGTAATAACGAAAAATGGTCAAAAACCAAAGTTCGGTCACTAAATGAACTGCTGTAAGTCGAGGACTTCCTGTAAAGCATTAACTGAGATGTATTTTTAACCAGAGGTTTTGCAAGTTGTTTATTCCTTTGGTAAGATTCTCCAAAGAAGATACTTATTTGCCCCAGTTAGAAATTTTGGTGGTTGTTTTGTTCATTATGAATTTGCATATAATTTATTGAATATTTCACTAATACAAATGTTCATGGAATGTTTTCTTTCTGTTTCAGGATTTGGTACTTCTTAAGGATATAGCTGTGTTTTTCTTCCATGGAGGAGTGGGCCCTACTGGATTATGAGCAGAAAGCTCCGCACCAAGAGGTCATGGTGGAAGACACAAAGAATATGGCTTCCTTCGGTAAGGGATTTTCTTTCCTCTGGCTTGAAAAGATGTTGGAAGTGAGCAGTCTCTCTCTTTCTATCATGGAATGCTAGTCTGTTCATTGTGTACAGTTGAGAGAGTTTTTAACTGCATTTTTATTTCTATGTGGACTTGTAAGTGGGTTAAACCCCCACACTGCCTCCAAAAGGAGGAGAGAGGTCTCCTCCGATGCAGTTTCTCATCTTAATCAGGTTGTGTCTGTTTCCCTTTGTAGATAGCCTTAGGAGTTGTTTTCATTTTGTTGCTGTCAGACCTTCCTTAAATCAAATCTCTTAGGAAAGAAATACCCTCGGACCAGGGGTGGGATTCTACCGGTTCAGACCAGTTCAGGCAAACAAAGTTACATCCGGTTCACCGAACCGGTATTTCAACCGACCGGCTGGCCCTGCCCACCCCTCCCCTCCCAGAAGTCTCCACGTGGCCCATTTTCGATGGAGGTGAGTGCAGGGTTCGTGTGGAGGTTCTGGGAAGGGGAGAAATGGGCCTTCCGGAAGTCCAGAAACAGGCCTGGGGGAAGCTGTTTTCGCCCTCCCAGTGGCCCAGGGGAAGCCTCTGGACCTTTGGGAGGGCAAAAATGGCCCTCCCGGAAAAACCAGAAGTCGCAAAATGGGCCTGTTTTTAGCTTCTGATGGGACTCCAGGGCCCGGGGGAGGCTGTTTTCACCCTCCCAGAGGCCCGGGGGAAGCCTCCGGACCCTTGGGAGGGCGAAAACGGCCTTACCCGAGTTCTGGAGGCCCACCGGAAGCTGGAAACAGAAAATTCTTGTAGGCCACGCTCAACATGGGCCTGCCCACCCAGCAACCGGGCAGCGAACCAGTTGCTGGGATTTTTTAACCTCTGCCCTCGACTCTATTTCATTGAAGTGATAGGTTCTTTTACTAAAAGATGTTGGTTGCATTAGAGTCAGGCTAGAACTAAATTTCCCCTGCTCAAAAGATACTCATCCCAGCCCTCCCCGCACGACCAGTCTGTCTTCAGCCAATAAGGATCTGCTTATGTATTTTAAGAATGCTGAGATGTTTGGGGGCAATCCACATTCTTTCTCAGGGTGCATGGCTTTGAGTGCTGGTACAAATTAGTTTGGAGCTTCTCTGTTCTTCATCAGCTGTCATTTCCCCCTTCCCTATTTCCTATCACCAACCAGATTGATTGCACATTTTTTGTCCCTCCCCCCCACGTTCCACTCCTTTTTTCTAGCCTTTGATGGCAGGATGCCAGCAAGGGGCCAAGCTGAAAATAGCAGACGTTCTAGCTGCTTATAAAGGTGGTACTTAAGAGACCCAGTGGTACACAGGGTTTATCACAAGGATGTTACTGCTAGTAAGGTGGACCGTTTGATAGTCACGTTTTCCAGAGATGGGACCTCCAATTCTGGTGGCTCCCCCAACCACCATTATTTACATGGATACCTTCCTTTGGGATAGCTAGGGGAGAATGAAAACTGGTATTTTCAAGGGAAAGTTTCCTCAACAGAGAAGGCAAAACCTCATGGCATAAATCAGTACTTCCACTTTCTCAGATATAAATTCAGTGAACTGATCCTCTCTCATCATCCAATTTTGAAAAAAAAAAAGTCAGCTTTCAAGAGTCCCACGCATATTCTTGGAACTGAACTGAAAGGAGCAGCAGAGCTGATGGGGCCCCACCCCGAGATTCAAAATTATTTCCCCACAGCATTATGAGTGTCATGTCCCTGTTGGAATCTGATTCTGAGGGGAAGGTCGAAAAGCTGACAGGGAGTGGGAGTGTGGCTCCGGTGGCTGGGGAGGAAACTGGGGAAGGGCACAGTCTGGCTGGGCATTCAAAGAAAGACCCAGGCCCACCCCCTCTTTATCCTAGGGCATGCAGGGAGGAACAGATAAGGGAGCAACGTGGGTTACAGGGGAGAAAAAGGCCCCGATTCCCTTCATTAGCTGCAGCTGGGAAAACAGGATAAAGAGGGCGTTTCCGCATAGAACCTTGCTGGAAGCAAAGTGTGCATTATCTTTGTTTGTCAAGTCCCATCTGGGTTCTGGCGTCCTCCCAACTGTACGTGTTTCGTTATCTTTTGAGTTCTGCAATTCCTTATCCTGCCCTGTCTCGCTAATTGCTGCAGCGTAGTTTGTGTTGGTTTTTATTTATAATTTATATGTACTTTTGGTTTGGACTAAATTTCTTCCCTTTCAAAACTGTTCTTGGGAGAGTTTTTTTCTCCAGCCGATGATAACTGGACGTTGGGGGTCAAGTTGGAGGAATTAAAGGGACTTTACCTACTTTTGTGACTTTTTGTGCCACGCCCTGGGTCATCACAATGAGTTGCATTCTGCAGCACACAGAGGGCAAGAGGGAAGCCTGGGGCAGATCTTATATCAACTAGATATGCAGCATAATACTATGTTTTGAACACAAGCTGATGGAAGCAGAGAGAATAATTACAAAAAACGGCTAAATGAATCAAAGATAGTGGTGGGACTTTTACTATGTTCAAATAAGAGAGTCAACAATGATGCTTAATCCCTTTCACACCTCATTTTGTGTCAACTTTCCTTTTCCCCCCCTTTCTCCTTTTCCATGTAGGTGATGGATTGAAGATAGTCCATGCTGCCCAAGAGATGGCAACACCTTTTCTAACAGCCGAAAAGGAAGTTGCGGAAAGAATGAGTGAAAAGGAAAAGCCTGAAGAAAAGGAGTTAAAGGAGGAGCTGGGGAAATATTCTAGTTCCCCATATGTAGATATCAGCATTTTCTTGCACAATGATGATACCCAAGCAAAAGCAACATGTCCAGGGTGCGGAAAAATACTCAGAGATGAATTGGGATTATGTGACTGTTATACAAGCCATCCCCTTACGTTCCATAAAAACATTCCCAAAGCAAAGGATCCATACCAATGCCTGGAATTTGGAGAAAACGCCAGTCAGGAAAGTCACCAGAATTCACATCAGAGGGTCCATGAAGAGAGGAAGCAGCATCAATGCATCACCTGCGGAAAGAGCTTCAGAAACAGTGCAGCCCTTATTTCCCACCAAAACATCCACAGGGAGGAGAGATGGTATCAATGCAAGGAGGGTAGAACAATGTTTACTCGGAGCAAGGAATCAAATTCCCGGAAAAAAAGCCCCACTGGGAATAATTCATGTAAATGCCTGGAATGTGGGAAGAGCTTCCGCTCTGCAACTCACCTCACTTTCCACAATAGGATCCATACAGGGGAAAAGCCGTATCATTGCACAGTGTGTGGAAAGAGCTTCACCCAAAATGGCAACTTCAATTTACATAAAAGGGTCCACACCGGAGAGAAGCCGTATAAATGCATAGAGTGTGGGAAATGCTTCAAAGCCCCAGGTGCCCTTACTCAGCATAAAAGGATCCACACAGGGGAGAAACCCTATGAATGCCTGGAGTGTGGGAAAAGCTTTAGCAGAAGCTGCACTCTAACCTTACATAATAAGATGCATAAAGGGGAGAAACCTTATAAATGTCTGCATTGTGGAAAAAACTTCAGTCAAAAAGGTCATCTTAAGTCACACGAGAGGATCCACACGGGGGAAAAGCCATTTCAATGCATGGAGTGTGGAAAGAGCTTCCGTTGTTCTGCAAACCTTACTTCCCATAACAGAATCCACACGGGGGAGAAGCCCTTTCAATGCCTGCAGTGTGGAAAAAGCTTTGCCAGTTCTGGTGGCCTTCATGCCCACAAACGGACCCACACAGGAGAGAAACCGTACAAATGCCTGGAGTGTGGAAAGAGCTTCCGTAAACCCAGCCACCTAACTTCCCATAGTAGTATCCACAGCGGAGAGAAACCGTATCAGTGTACCGAGTGTGGGAAGCGCTTCAATCAAACAAGTCACCTTAATATCCATAAAAGAATCCACACAGGGGAAAAGCCCTATAGTTGCTCCGAATGTGGCAAATGCTTTACCGACTCAGGGGCCCTTGTTCGCCACAAATGGACCCACACTGGAGAGAAACCATTTGGATGCAAGGAATGTGGGAAAAGCTTCAGTCAAAAAAAATCTTTTATTGTACATTACAGAATCCACACTGGGGAGAAACCGTACAAATGCACGGCATGTGGAAAGAGTTTCAGTGATTCTCAAGAACTTGCTTCCCATGAAAGGATCCACACTGGGGAAAAACCCTATAAATGTGCGGTGTGTGGAAAGGGCTGTAGGACCACCAGTGACCTTAGTTCCCATAAGCGGACCCACACAGGTGAAAAGCCCTATCAGTGTGGTGAGTGTGGAAAGTGCTTTAGTCAAAACAGTTCCCTTAATAGCCATAGAAGAATGCACGCGGGAGAGAAACCATACAAATGTATGGAGTGTGGAAACTGCTATAGAAGTAGCGGTGGTCTTAATTACCATAGGAGGATACATACAGGTGAGAAACCACATAAATGAGCTGAATGTAGAAAAGTAATTAGAATCAGTCATGTAATATCTGTAGAAAATTAATTCACAGAAACCATTAAATGTATCAAATGTGGAAACAGCTTTATCTATTTATCTATCTATCTACCTACCTACCTACCTATCTGCGAAATACCACTCACGCATCATCACAAAATCTCCAGAACCGTAAAGCCTACAAACTTGAAATTTGGCACGTATGTTCCTCTTGGCTTCTAGGTGCTCACTAAGAAAGGATTAGTATTTCATATATATTATTATTAACACGCTCTGATCCTGAGTTCTACTCCCCCTCTCCACCTGAAAAAAAAAATGCAAAATACAAGCAGAGGAGTTTCAGTTTCACAGCACCAAGCAGCTTTAGTACAGAACAGTTGAGCTAAGCCACGCCCAGGCTCCTTGCTGTCTCCTTCTTGCTCACATAGCAAATACTGTTTCAGTTTCCAAACAGCCCTCAACTCTCACAGACTGAGAGGACACTAGCCAGATGAATACTGATGGATGCTGGTAGGCAAGGACAGAATTTCCCCCCCCCCTTATTTTCCTCCCCAAAAACTAAACCCACGACATAGTTTCATAGCGAAGCATGGGTATAGAACTAGTTTAAAATATTTCCCTTATTTTTTCTTGCAAAAGGATTTGCTCATTGGAGGAACTACGTAAATGTCTCAAGGATATAAAAGTGCTTTGGTGCCTCTTCTTTGCTTATTCCCAAAAATTTATTTACCTGGAAGAAAACATATCAATACACTGAATGTGGAAAGTGTTTCTGAAGAAAAACCTTACTTTCCAGAAAACCTTACTTTCCAGAAAAAGACAATGTAAATTAAGGGAGTCTTAATGGAGCTTCAGGGTGGAAAGTATCCTTTTCATCAAAGGATCCACGTAGAAGGGAAATCATGTACAGTACATGCATGACATGCTGGAAGCTGTTCAGAATTGAAACAACTATAATTCCTATGGGAAAATACGTACTGGGGAGAAACCATGTGTGGCAAGTATAGAAGTGCATGAGTGAACAATCATTCATTTTATACCTCATAGCAGGGTGAAACTTTATAAATGTATGTAGTGTGAGAAGTGGCTTGAAGCAGTAGGATCTGTTGAATAGATAACCAAATGCCTAGAAATAACAGGAGTTTGTAGAAACACCGGAAGCTTTATGGAAACATTAATGGCACAATAGAAGATACAGCTGCTAGTCAATGGTGATAGTTTGGGAGAGCTTAATATTAAGAGAGGTTGTCAGAGTGCACACCGCTTTACTATGTGAGACAACCCAGGAGCAATACCAGCAAGCAGAGGTTTGTAATAAATAGTGGTTTTATCTACAAAAGAATATATACTATACATACACGTACTACAGGCAGAAGTCAAACCAGCAGCAATTACATCAGGGAAGAACACACAACAAGAGAGAGAGATGCCCTAACAGGGCCTCTTCTTATTATACAGGCTCTTAAAGGGACAACAGCTACAAACCTTGCTTACTCATTCCCATCATTGCATCATTACAACAGCTTGTCAGTTCTTAAATTACTACCCTGATAGAGGTATCTTTGAAAAAGAGTTATCACTACTACTGTTTGTCGTTGCATTGATTCATCTGACAACAATATTGAACAAATTAGGCCATGGCTCTCAAACATCAAAAATAGATGTCAGATCATCCTACCTAATAGGAGGTACCTGGCCTCACAGTAGTAACTGTGAGAGGGATGTCCTAGTGCAGGGGTGTCAAACTCACAGTCTGGGGCCCGGATGTGTCACATGCTGGCCACCCCCACCTCTGGTTTAGTGAAGGGGGAAAAAGTCACGATAGGTCATGTGACGATGTGACGACGCGAGTTCGACACCCCTGTCCTAATGGTTCACTGCTTAAATATGAGTCAGCATCAAGATCATGGGAAATGATAGTACTGTTTTACACTGAACTGATGAGATCACACTTGGAATACGGTCACCCTGATTCAAGAAAAGATACTGGAGGCCCAGAAGAAGTCCAGAGAAGATTTTAGTAGACATTCCTGTATTAAATTTCAGAATTGCCATCATGCGCTTGAGTTCCACATTTGCTAACTGCCAGTCTACAATGGACCAAGGGGGGAATGCTTACAGGAAAGGAAAAGAATGTGCCTCTCGGTTAAAGTGCCTCGCGGTGAAAAACTTCAGGGCTGTTGCCCTGGGAGAAGGCTGCTGCTGCTAGAAAGTCACCATTTTGAAAACAATTTATTTGAATATGGTTAGGTGTGGGTGGTGGGGGGGGGAATGACCAGCAATGGGAAGGGACAAAGGAGGAAAAGTTATTGGGAAAGCTTTGGTGCGTGAGCTTAAGTTCTGGCTTTTGCTATTCGGTATTCCACTTGGCTTTTAGTAAAGTATACCTTTTGACATTAATGGAGTCGAGGGTCTTGCTTGCTTGGAGAACCTGGTTGGGGCAGGGCTGACAAGTTTTATATTCTTCTTTAAACACCAAACCAGGTGTGGGATTCACATTTCTTAACAACTGATTCTGTGGGTGTGGCCTAATTGGTGGGTGTGCCTTGGTGCTCATGTGACTGGCTGAGCATGCCTTGTATGTAAATATTGTAGATATTTATGTAAATATTGAATTTTTTATTAAAAAAGAGAGCAACTTTTACCCAAAATCAGGCAAAGCAGGCAGGCAGATTGAGT